GGAGACATTGAAGTTCGATGAATACTGCCGCCGCAGTGGTCGGGCCTGATGGGTGATAATACTTACCCAATACCCATCAGTCCACTCGAGGTCATTGACTTAAAATGACAACGCATTGTAATCTGCGATTTTTATTACACGCTCCAATTTTTCGATATTCAGAGTTGCCTGGACGCAGTAACTCGAGCTCGTTTTGAATAAAACGCATTTAAAAAAATACTCAATGAGGTATTTTTTTAAGCAGGGCTACGCGCATTCACACAAAAATAAAAGGAGAATGATTACTAAGCGAATTTACGGTACCACTGAAATGCCCAAAGCTGCTGCTTTGGCATTCAATTTATTAGATCTGTGATCGTGGGAATGAGATTTTAACCCAAGATATGATGACGACACAGTTAATTCATTTGAATTTGAGATAAAATGGACAGGACAACTGAGCAAATTATTATTGTAGAAAATTGAGTCAAATAGTTTGTCAAATAAGTTGAAACAACATTTAATGCCGAACTACCGGAAGTTCGAATGTATGGGGGCATACCTTACGACGTCATGAAACATGATGGAAGCGCGATATAGAATTAAGATTCAAGACTTTGTGAGTTCATTTCATTTTCCCACTCGTGAAATAAAAATTGGTTCATTTTTTTTCTAAGCCTGTATCCAAGTATTTGCTAACTAACTGCAACATTTTAAAATCCTTGTGAAAAAAACAAACAATTTCATCTCAATATGGGTGAGTACGAATTCATTCTTCTTTTATGAATTTCTCTACACTGCTCCGAACAAAGCTTTGTGAATGCAGGTATATTTATAAAGCTCTAGCCATAGCCTTAGTTCAAAGACCAGTTTCCTGACGAAGACAAATACACCAATACTAGTTTATTATCACTAACATCTGTGTGACTGTAAATGTCCCCTATTCTTCCCATTGACTTGACTCGAGTCATGTTTTCAAAAACTCAGGACTTGAGTTGACTCGAAAAGTGCAATGACTTAACTTGTGACCTGGGTAGTGCCGGGAATCGACTTGTGACTCGAGAGTGCAGTGACTTGACTTGTGACTATGGCAAGCATGGACTTGACTTGCGACTCAGGAGTGCAGTAACTCGACTTGTGACTCAGGAGTGCAGTAACTTGACTTGTGACTCGGGGAGTCAGTGACCCGTATTTTGACTTGAGAGTAGAATGACTAGGTAGAGCAATGACTCGAAAATTAAAATTCCAGCCATAGAATTAGTTTCTACAATACTCCATGATGATTTCTAAACCCTTGTTCTGACAAAACCATTTCGAATAATAGAAAAACCTGGATCCAATGTATCTGGAGCATCAGAGAGTCACCAAGAAGCGGGTGCTTCGTCAGTGGATCAGGGGACTAAAGTTCAGATGGCGTCTAAAGTTGGCCGAGGTATAATATTTGGGAATTGCTAAGAATAATTTTAAAATAAAATTATCAATAAGCAGAGTGCAAAGATTGATGGTTGGTTGAATAAGATTCCGAGTCATTTTATGTAGCTAACTCGAATCACTTTGGTAACTCGAGTCGCCTTTTCAATATTCATAAAAGTTGAGAGTTGAATATATTTTGCGGCCCATCATAGGGGTTTAAAAAAAGCAGTCGTATAACCTAATTTACTCATTTTAAAAAAATTTATTTTGGAAAACTTGGTTGGAATTACTTTTGTTACGTTGTCTAACTTTTTTGTAAGGTCTTTTTATAGCATTTTTCTTATCATTTTATCCACCCAAACAAATAACTGTATTATTATTTCATAGCTGCCGCAGCTAAACAACTTCCTCCAGCTGAACAAGCTGTAGCAGAAGCGGAAATGACCCGCACCGATCTAGCATTGCCAGAAGAAGCACCGACACTAGAGGGAACAGGTAAGTAACTTCTCACAATAAATCAGATTTTGACATAGTAACATTAAGTGATATAATGCACAATTTGTTGCCTTTATTTCCACAAAATGAGGTCTGATAGTTGGGGAGCAATGCATCAATGAATTAAAATCTCGATGGAACTTTTTAAAAAGTAACCACTTTTCTGATTTAATGACAATCAACGAGAATATCGGTCGGAGACCGAATATTTATCGATCGAAAGTTAGGGAATCCCCCAAAACAGAAACTGCGGTTTCGATTCATTCGCTCTGACTCTATAGTGACACCTCGTGTGAGATATGATGAATGCTCATGCAAAATTTGGAGCAGATTCAACCTCTCTTTCGTGAGATATCGCGTGCATCTAACAGACAAACAAACAAACGAATAAACAAACAAACAAACAGACAGACAGACAAACAGACAAATACCTATTAATTACCGAACAAGAATCGATAAGTAATAATGCACAATGCTCATGAATCCAGAAACTTATTCGTATTTTTGCAATTCAATACTTGGCTCAATATTATTATCAATTTAGTGCCATTCCACAGATTTACAACGGGCTCACACAACTGTCCTAATTTCCTACTAATTAATGAAATTCCCGATCTTTGAACGAAAATGGGAAATTGCCACAATGAGTTGTTTTGGATGTAGCTCTCTAGCGCCACATTCATACTCTGCCACTCCAAATAAGTTTTGGAACTGACAACTTTGTTTCATAGTAATATGGAGACTGTTACATCAATTTATGTTGTGGGGTGTCCCAACCAAACTTAGGTTCCGAGAAATGCTCTAATTTCTTGTTTAATTTAGCTGAACGATTTGCAGAAGAAGGGGAAGTGACATTCAAAGCTCAACCGTTTCTCTCTGATGAGTCTGGGAGAGCATCGGCACAAGACGGAGCTAGTGAGTAACATGTCACAGTGAATGAATTTCTGCAAATAAATATAAAAAACATTGTTATAAATATAATTTTTCAAACAATTTCCAATGCTCTCGTACCTAATCAGGGATCAGGGTTATTCTACTCTAATATATATTCAAATGTGGCTCCTAACAAAACAATTCTGGCCCGAGAAATTGTACTTCGAATCTGAGCCATTTTATTCTGACTAGATAAGTTATATATGTCTGTCCTTATATAACTTCAGCATATGGCAGCCATGGCCTCTTATTTGGTTACCAGTCCATCTCAGGTATGGGAATAGTTTTGAAGTTGTTTGCTTCGGATTTATGAACTTGGATGGTGGAATAACCGACCAGCGCTTATGTTAACCAATCTACAAAAGCACAAAACCCAGTACTCCGCTCAACATATTTATCCAGGGAATGCGAATTTGCAAACGTGCCCGGGTTGATTGAAGAGGAGAAGGGGGGCGTTTTTCCGACACGATTCGCCAATCTCTGAGCCAAGTCGATAAATTCTCACTGTGATTAGCCAACTTTTCTTATAAAATGTTATGTACCAGACCCACGCGTCCCAAACTGGTATTAATTTCTGAGCAATCTAAAGCTAAATCATCAATTTTCTTAAACATAGGAAAACCAAACCAGAAATTAATACAATATTTTGGTGTGTAGGCAACTCTTTAGCACCACCTACATACAACCAAAATATTACATTAAATCTTATAGGGGATAATTATGTGCAAGAGGATTCTTGGACTCCTCGCTGTCGTAGGGTGGTTCCCTCCATTATTATGCCTATGCATCTGAAAATAAAGTACTGGCTAACTAATCCCATATCCGACATGGACTGGCAACAGGACACGAGGCCGTTGTCCGCCATATGATTAAACCGTCATAATCTAATTTCTTCTCCTCTGGATAAATAGGTAAATCCTGTAAGTCTTCAAGTAAGCATCGTTATAAGGGGTAAATAACTATGCATGTACATACACAGTCTGAAATAAGATTAGAACTCGATATCCAATGAAATTAGTTTGGTTCAGCCTTGATTGTACTGTGATGTGTAATGTGAACTAATTCATGTCTCAATTACCATTAATCTGCTCAAAACCAAACTTAAACTCGTTTATGGATTCCTGCACAAGTTTTTTAACACTTGCATCTGTGCGGTAACGTGGCCACATATCAGTAGTAATCAATTGCCACTATTATCAATTTAACACTTCACCACTGTAACAAAGGGGATGTCTAGGTCTCTTACAAAATTACCCGAACAGTTCTCACAACAGAAGCACTTTTGCTTCAAACAAGCAAATTGAAATGGAGAATACATCATCCATCTAGTAGAGGCCTAGTGGCTGTTTAATACAATCCTTGAAAAGCGATGCTAGTTGGATAATTAGCCAAAGTCATAAGGGGAAGTATTAGAAATTCCGAAACTTAGATGCCCGATCATCTTGATTAGGACAATGGGTGTTGCCACTCTTTAACCAGTCTTGGTTCCCATAGCTTCTCTTCTTAGATGAAAGGATAGGATTTACATCCTGGGAAAGTCGATGGGATGACTTAATCATAGGACGAACCACTCTCTGTCGGGTATGAGATTATTTAACCAGTTATATTGATTCCATATGCATGGACTCGATGGTGGGGGAAGTCGTAACCGACCAGCAGTTACGTAACCATCTTGCGGTGTCATGATGCGCCACCCCGCCAAGTGATTGTCATATTTTTGTAAAAATAAAACTTGGAACTTGATATTGATACTTGAATATCTTTCTCCCCATTTTCAACTCAATTTCATTGTTCTAGGCGACATCAGAATTGAAGATGTTTTCACTCATATTGCAAGAAAATTCACGTCGCTCATTCATTTCAAAATGTTTGCCTTGGCTGGAAATGGTCTCAGGCTCAGTGCTGGAGAAGTTCCAACAATCATTGCCTACAATCCTGATTCTGTTGAAGATAAAAAGTTTAGAATGCTTGATCTTTGGAAAGAAAAAAATGGTAGGTTTTCATTAAACAAAATTATGAGTTTATAAACAGCAAGGAAGTTGTCTCCTATAAAAAATAGTATTTTCTATCACAAAATGTCTTTCCTTTTTATAGAGGCTATAACTATTTTCAAAGACTAAGCACCTTTCAAAAGCCACCAACTTCTTTGTGTTTCAGGATCTAGAGCGTCACCAACCTACATAGCAGAGATATTTAAGCAATATTCCAGGCAAGAGAGAGGTGGTGTCACTGGTAAGTTAGGGGAGGTTTTCCATTATATGATATTATTACTTCAAATAATTTGTCAAAATATATAAGTTCAAGCGCCACTGGAGCATTTTAACAGGTTTGTCTCACTCGGCAGAGCGACAGTTATCATCACGAGTTTTGTTATTATGTTGTTGTTTGAATTCTTTCTCTCATTCTTCTTCTTTTCGTTATGAGACAATCACTTTTCTCATTAACCACTGGACCAACAAAATTTTCAGTGGTCAAAGATTCTATTTTAGCTAAAAGAGTATTACCTTTATTTATTTAGAAATCGTTTTCTTTTTTTGGTACGATGACATTATAGTGCATATCATACCAATTTGCTTTACCTTCATGTCCCTATATTTGTGCATCGCTCTCTTATTTCAGATTGACTATGCCCACATCTGATATGTTTTTTGTTTTTATCATTGTGTCTCCATGTCTGCTCTGGTATTGCTTTCCTCAAAATTCTTGTTTATATATGCTATTGCTCTGAGAAATTTCCTCAAAAACCTCATCTTTGTTTGCCCTGTATATAAATTGTTGCAATAATTGCAAATATAAACACTTTGCAGACACTGCGAACCTGAGTTTTATTTTTAATTCTAACTTAGAAATGCTGGGATTTTCCAAGAACACTTAATAAAACATTGACCTATAGCATTTCACCGCTGTGTCACTCAAATAATTGGCTTCATATGCAATTGTAATTGAATCCGTTCTTTATCAGGTTCAAGAATCGAGGATGCTTTCCTAGCAGTTCCTAAACGCTTCGCCAACGCAGCGCAGTTCCAAAGATTTGCATTGTCTGGGAAAGGTTTATCGCTCAGTATGCACGAGGTTGGAAACATAAAAGAAAATGCAAAAAATGTGGAAGAGAGGAATCTGGATTTGCTCGTTTTCTGGAAATTGAAAAACGGTAAAGTTTTGATGTTTGCTGTATTTGTTCAACCTCTGAAAACTGAAAAAGAAATTCCATGGTAGTGTATCGGTCATCAACCAAGGCGAATGTATTAATAAGCAATCATTTGTTACATCTTTCCTAAACTCAGTCACTCCTGTCCTAATGTTCGCCAACTTACTGCAGTCTTCACAAAAGTCTGGCCTTGATTTATTTTCTGTATCTTTCACGCATATTTATCTCATGTCAGTCATCCTCACAGGTGGGACGTGTCTAGGGCTGTCTGGGACAGCATGTTACAGGGGTGGGTTTTATTGCTTAGTTTGATTATTTAAACAATAATATTACGAACATTTCACGCTCACTTAACCTGTAATTGATTTCTTTTCGAGTATAACAACATCTATAATTTGTTTATCCCCCCTTTATGGTTCAAATAATACAGAGCCATCAAGCATGTGATAAGTTGGGTAGGCAATAACGAAATCATAGATTTCAGTCCTTTTACACAACATGATGTAATGTAGTTGAACATAATTAGTTACCTCCATATTGGTGCACACACTTCTGGAGCGCCAAAAGTTTAATAGCAGATTCATATTATCATTTTCTATTTTAATAACACAGGAGATTCAGCAACAACTGAAAACATCTGGCAACTGGTAAATGCTTTCCTGGATGAAAAAGGAGAATCCCACCAAGGTAAATTGTTACTCAAATACAGTTCCTCTGACATTTTTTATTTTGACAACCTGATTGTGATACCTGATTTACAAGTTATCTGGGGTTGATGGCTCAGCTCAAGTTGCCCTTGTGAGAGAAACTTCATTCTAGCAAGGTAGAAGACTTATAATCAATGCAGTAGTAAACCTCACTGCTCTCACTTGTTCAGTTACAGCCCAGATCGAATAATAAAATAGCTGACCAGATAAGTGTTCCAAATTCATGGAAATTGTAAATCTGACTGATCATCCGATTTTAACAACCAACGGTTTCAGACATGCACTTCGCCCTGGAGTAAATTTGATTTTCGCTTAAAAGTGCCCCTTAATGCTGCTAGAATAGACAAAGTTAGTTAAAACTCCTTTGAAACGGCCTAAAATGTCTCTTGCTTTGTCACTAAAATAAACGCATCTTACTACAAAGTCTCTGCAATATATGAATAAAATCTCATCATGATTCATACTTTCCATACAGATCAGTCTCCTCTGCATCCTCGTCCAATAGAACCTCCTGTAGATGAGGAGATATCGGGTGACGCTGAACCACTCAGACCTGATGTTGAACCACTCAGACCTGGTGCTGAACCACTCAGACCTGACGCTGAACCACTCAGACCTGATTCTGAACCACTCAGACCTGATTCTGAAGCATCTCAGGCTGATCCAAGACCAGTAAGGCAGGAACCTGGTGAGTGTTTGAAGAAATTTCTGCTCAACTTTGTTTCCATTTTAAAACAAATTTGCTCAAAACAAGGTCTTGTTTACTCTCGATGCCATACTATACTCACTCTCACTTCGGAACAAAAGAGATTTCCTCGACCAGCAGCCGCCATTTGTCAAGAGCTACAGACAATATACTTTAAAATTCCATACAAGTCAGGTGTAGGATTGGCTATACATCGCCATATGAAAAGCCTCCCGCGTAAAAAAATTGTTTGTTATGGGCAGTCGCTGCTGAAGTGCCAAGAGCTACTAGAACTGTAAAGAAATAGAATGTTGAATCGTAAAAAGTAACTAACGATGAAGTACATACTTGAAGCAGTCATCACCACATTGACGCTCACCAAGTATAATAATCCCATGGATTGCCTGAAGGCTCGACGGAACAGGGACTAGAACTAGGGAACATAGATTGCTCTCGCACTCTGCTCTGTGGGAGGAATTGTAGGGTTCTCCAGAAGTATGTGTACCAATATGGAGGTAACTACATTTGTCCGCCTATTTTACATCAAGTTGTCTAAAGCGACTGAAACCTATGGGCAGGGGAGTATTCACTTGATCAACACAGAAAGTCCACGACTCATCATAGAACTAAAATAAGGAAAATCGGGATACATTTATGTCTCATCCTTAACCTTTACACATACTACGGGAGTACCTAACTTTGTGCATTTCTAGCGCCCTCCGACGTTTGTGAAATATGTATAAGAATGGTTCCATTACATTTGAACCCACGTACATTTGAACCCACGACAATTGCACCTGCATGCAATTGCACCTATGGAATTTTTTTTGGTTTTACGGATATTTGTACCCATACTAACCTAACACATTGGTTTTAGCACCCGCATATTGATTGAACCCGCGGATATCCACATGGGTTCAAATGTACATGGGTTCAAATGTACGGTCACCATAAGAATAAGTACAATCAGTAATCAGTAATCAGTAGTTTATTTTCTCACCATACTAAATGCACACTTGATATACAAATTGCAATAAATAAATAAAAAGGCATTTCAGGGTGAGGGGAGCCGCGAGAAACCAAATTTGGTTATCGAGCAGCGGCACCCATAAGCAAGTCTAACAAGGAAATAATAACAAAACAAAAAGTCGAACTGTGTATATACAGTATCATATATACGTTAATTTGAAAATAAATATAAATACGTCAAGGCATTCCAACCAGGTATGCCCAGTAATCTCGCGTTTCAACAACAACAAAACAAGAAACGACTCCGTGCACCAATTATCTAAGTAGCCATGACGATAGCTGCAAAGTAACAATGGTACCATTGTGAAGTGACTGTGGTCGTATGTAGAACATTGTATGGTGCAGGGCTACAGTTGTTTAGGTATCAATGGTAAAAATGAAGTTTCACGAACAGGAAGCCTACCAGTAGTATGGTATGCATGCAACTGTAGTACCGGTAGTCATAAATAATTTAACCTTTTATGGTAAGAAAATTGAACTTCAGTGTGTAACTGGAAGGCACACGATCAATGAATAAATGGTATTCTACAAGATCAAGGTAGGATTAAATTTCATGTGGAACTAACCACTTCATACAGAACATGGAAAAAGCAAAGGTAGGTAGATTGATAAAAATCTAATGTCAGTCAGTTTATGACATAACGATGCCAAATGTACAAAGATAAAAAAAAAAAAAAATTTACAATCGAATATGGTTTAACATTAAAATGATGTTATTAAGGGTGCCAGTGACCAAGATCTTAGTAACTTAGATCAGGCTCAAATATTACCAATATATAACTGACTATTTTACATGACATCACAGTGCATGAACTATGCATGGTTTCTTCTTACATGATATCCTCTCATTCACACAGTGGGTCTATCAGAGATGAATCAAATATGTAAAAAGAAACAATTCATAGTAGTAAATAGGTAATATTCTAGATAGGTAATATTCTAATTTCTTCTTTGTTTTCTTTCTTTAGCTGAAAGATTTGCAGTAGAAGGGGAAGCGTCATCTAAGGCTCAACCGTTCCACTCTGATGAGTCTGAAGGAGCATCGGCACCCGGTGGAGCTAGTGAGTAACATTTCTGCAAGTATTGTAAATAATGAAGGGATTTACTTATTTATCCCGAGGATAGAAAAGCATGTGCCACTACTCAATCATATGGCAAACCACGGCCTCTCGTCCGGTTACCAGTCCATGTCGGGTATGGATTAGTTAGCCAGGTATGTTTAGGATGCATGGACTTTGATCAAACACTAATTTATTTTTCGACTAAGAGAATAGGGAACGAGTTGATGTTTTTTTTATGGGCATTTAAATTGGAGTTTTATAGGAGGGTTTTATAGTTTTATATTTATCCACAGGAGGGCTATTTGGCCGCTCTTTAGACAGCAGGTTAGGAATAGAGATAGATATATGGTCCCAATCACCGATTGAATGGCCTCCTCTGTAGAGAACTATAGGGCTGCTATATAGACAGCAGGTTAGGAACAGGGATGGATATATGGTCCCAATCACCAATTGAATGGCCTCCTCTGTAGAGAACTATAGGGCTGCTATATAGACAGCAGGTTAGGAACAGGGATGGATATATGGTCCCATGTTAATTGCACATACAATAGGTTGCAATCTATGTTCGATAACCAAAACCTGCTTTACTATTCTATAATTACCTTGTATCAATGAATCCACCTCAACTTTTATTTCTATTTTACAGTTCAAAGCAGTTCTAAAGTTCCAGCTCCGTTCAATGTACTTGGATCTCAAGAACCAGGGAAGACTTTACCAGGTGACGTGACTAATTATTTAATGTATGGGTTTGCAAACTGTGGCCCATGGGCCAAACTGCGGCCCACAAGAAATAATTGTGAGGCCCTCGAGGATGTGTCATTTTTTAATGATGTGTCTACGAAACAAGTATTTATTTTAGTTAATCTGGTATGTGCAAGCAATTCCAATACCTTTGCATAAACTATAACAGTATCTGAGGGCTACTGTCATATTAATAAATTTGAATAGCAGTTTTCTTAAGAAATTTATGCGTTTTCACTCACAATTTCTCACTCACCTTTAAACAATGCTGTATTATCAATAACAAAAAGTAAAATTTTTGTCCCTGCATCTACTAGAAAGGCTATCTTAAATAAAGGGGCGGCTCGCGGCTTTACCTAGTTACTTGTAATTTGCCCTCCTGTAATAAAGGTTGCACACCCCTGATTTAAACATAATAATACAAATATTTTACTCTTTACTTGACCTTCAATTTATTCATTCTCATGTATAATGCTCTAAATCAAAGTGAGGTATGAAGGGCACAATTTTCAGTAACTTGCCCCGCAACACATGGGTTTGGCGCACTCCTGAGTGTTGACGTTGAAGCCTTGGATCTTTGTCATTCAGTTTTGAATAATGAATCAATACAATTATTACAATTAGTACAAATCAATACAATAAACAATTTAGTGTGGCCCTTGTCAACACCTAAATATTTCCCCATCCAACAGAGAAATTCTAATCCATAAGTTAATGTTTAAATAGGCTCTCACAAACTATGCAAAACTTGCTAATTTGCCAGTGATTTCATATAATTCAATACTTATACAACCGTTTCTTTCAGTTTCATTTCCGAAAGGGAAGTTTGATCGAGCTCACTTTGGGGATCAACATATTGCGACACAAAACATAAGTAAGTGTTTTGTTTTTTCTGTTATAAACTGAGTTGTGGGGATTTCTGACAAAAAAGTCTGTGCAAGATCACAGGGTGCAATCGGAAGGATATTCCACCGACTCAAAGCCTATGAAAACTACATTAATAAGTTTAGACCAGGGGTACCTGCAAAATTGGGCTGATTCTGAATGGTATGTGGCCCGCGAAGAATCCCAAGTTAATTGCAAAGCCTATACCTGAGTCCAATTTATTATCTATGCATATGACGTTACTTGTGCAAAGCGAACAACGCATGTCATAAGATTACCTTGGTTACCCAACCAGCTAATTCCCATCACCCGATTCGGCATGAGAATGTGCGATTTTCCAAATTTTTGTTGTTCTCTGAGGCTGGACTCTAAATTTGATATGCTTAATATATAAAAATTGTGACTGGCAGCATATGGTGAATTGACATGAAATTTGGGAACACTTATGTGTATAATAAATAAACCAAAACGCTGTCACGGCGCTTCCATGACTTTGGCACAAGGATATCCAGTTGCAGTATTGACAGAATTTATTTACGGATTTATGTTCTTGCCGAATTGGGTGATGGCAGGCT